TGTGTTTGTTAGCCATCTGAATGTCGTCTTCGGTGAAGTGCCTGTTCATATCCTGTGCCCATTTTTCTATTGGATTATTTACCTTTATCTTGTTGTGGTAGATAGATAGATTTTTTTAAGAGAGTCCTTGAAGTGTTAGCTTTCATTTTGGAACGAGGTGTTAAAGTAGGCCTGAAAAGTTATCCAAAGCTCTTTCAGTGTAGAAATTAAGGCTTCAAAATTAAATAAACCGAAACATAATAAATAAACATATTGAGTATACCAGGTCATCTTTATTGCATATCCCATCAAAGAAACCTGCAATCTGATATGTAATTGAATCATGCCCTGTCAGAACCCACTTTTCAGTAATCAAGGCTAAAGGATCGCACTGTCCAAGTTTATAGTAATTTCTGACTTGTATGTAATTTTTATTTCTGTTGTGTTTACTTTAGATGGCACATGGGACCAATGTATATTCCTTTTTCCTCTGCTTAGTGAATTTTTGTTGCATATCTAGCTCATCCAGTGTAATGCTGTATTGTTTTCTTACTGTACAGGGGATTGCGGACAGGCTGGTCCTCTTAGATCTCTCAGAAGGGACTAAAGGAGGGACGATGGACCTTGACATCTTCAGCTTGCCTAATGTGGAGATCAGCAAAGGTCTGATTATTATTCTTGAAAGATATTTGCTCTTGGGTTTGAGTCCTAGAATTGTTTTCTGTTATTGTGAAAATAACTCTAAAATTTAGAGACATCAACTACATTAATCATGTTGTATAACCTTCACCAGTATATTACCAAGTTTTCCATCACTTTAACCAAGAAATCAGTGCTTCCTACCAAAATAATCTTGAGTCTTGGAATTTTAACACTGAAAAGCACCTTAAAAGTCATCATATCCAAGTTTGTCAATTTACATATTGGGAAACTGAGGAACATAGAAGGAATGAAGAACGTGGAAAACCACAGCTTGTATCAGGCACACTGTAGTCTATAGACTGGCATCATTGCTCTTTAGCACTTTGGAGAGGTCCATGACAACAGACTTCCCCAGTGCAGTTTGTCTCTTGATTTCCTGACTGCTGGTTCCAAGTGCGTTGATGTGGAGCTGAGCAAGCTGAAATTATAAACAACCTCAGTCACTAATCCATCCAATTGCTGCCAATTGGCCCAGTGGTGAGAATCTTTTAAATGAGAAACAAATTTGTAAGAGTATTTCTCCTGTCTCTGATTTACATATTAATATCAATTTATTTTCTTTGGTTGTTTCCTTTCTCATACTATATTAATTAAGATTGATTTTACAATTAGCGAGATAGAAATTTGCAGCCTATAGGTCTAAATGTGACATTTCACAAGGTATATAGTTTTTCAAACTTCAAATGTCTCACCTGTAAGGTAGGAATGATAACACATTTTTAGTTGTTGTTGTTATGTGCTGTTGAGTCATTTATATATACAGTATATCCCTATATACAGTAGCTGTGAACCCGTTCCTATCCTGAGCCAATCTCTATCTTTGACACACCTACTCCCAATACCCCAGTAACTGTGTCAATCCATCTCATCCAGGGTCTTCTTCTCTTGCTCTGTCCCTCCACCCTTCCAAGCATGACATCCTTCTTCAAGGACTCGTCTCTCCTGGCCATGTGCCCAAAGTATTTGAGACAGAGCTTCAAAAACTTTGCCTTCAAGAAGCAACTTGGTTTCACCCTCTGCAGGACATATCTGTTTATTCTCTTGGCAGCACATGGTAGGTTCAATACTCTCCTCCAGCACCACAGCTCAAAACCATCAGTTCTTCTTCTGTCATCTTTGGTCATTGTCCAGCACTTCTTAGTAGTATATAGAAAAATGATGAATTAAGATTTTTTAAAAATCACCTTACTTTCACTAAACATATGGTTAATATAAGTGTTAATAATAAGAGGTTTGTATCATTAAAAAGAAAATGTAAAGTCATTTTTTTAAATCCAACTCTTAACATTTTATAAGTTTTGCATATGTTTTAAAATTGTGTAGATGTGTCAGGCCTTTTGTTCATAGGGTTGCTATGAGTTGTGCTCAACATGATGGCAATCAACAACCACAACAAATGTATTAGAATATATGAGTAGGCATATGTGTATACATACACCGTACTTGAGGATTAAAAATATCTGTGCACAGGGACACCTGGGTAAAGACTATGTGTATTTTGAAAAATCTTTAAAACAGACTAAACATATTTGCTGAAACTTTTCTTCTAGGTTATAATTATGAACAGATTATAATAGTTAGACTCGTTTGACCTTCCTTTGACTTGCCTTAGGTTATATCTGTTCATTGATCAGATTCCAAATAAAATATTGAAAACTTGGTCTCACCAGCCTGACTGTATTAAAAACATCAGTGAGTCAGAAAATTTTAATTCATACCTTTAAAATTACAAAATTTGGTTATTTCTCTGAAGAAGATCCATAAATAGCCAGTAAATACATGAAAATTTGCTCATTATCATTAATATCCACTTACTCACTCATTGCCATCAAGTCAGACAGCCTCAGAGCTGATATCCTGTTGATTTCCAGTGTTGCAAATAGCATGGGAAGAGATTGCCCATCTTACTCTGGAGTTGGTGCTGGTGGTGGATTAAAACCATCAAGAGAGGTGGGGCCTTTAGGCTAGCAGTGCAGCTCCCTGTAGGCTACCCTCCCAGAGCTTCCTTCAAACCAAGTGAGAGAGCCTTTCCTACCCACCAGGATGTTAGTATAGAAAACAAAACAAAAACCAGAAAATAAGAAATGCTGGGAGGATATGGAGAAATTAAAACCATTGTCCATTGCTAGTAGGAATGCAAAATGGTGCCATCACTATGTAAAACAATTTAGCAGTTCTTCAGAAAGTAAGCAGAGATATCATGTGCCATGAATTAAAGAGTGTGTGTGCCTGTGTGTCCCAAATACGTGTCAACTTGACTGGACTAGAGTTCTCAGTGCTTTGGATGTAATGTAGCATTTTTAAAAAATTTATTATTGATTTCAATGAAAATCTACAGAGACTTTGGATTTCCATTCATTCATTGTTGCACTTTTCTCACCTCCCCCCACCCCAGTACACTACTCTCTCAGAAAAGTAAAAGAAAACTTCTTTCATTGTTTTACAATCCCTCCTCCCAGGTCCACTCCAATATACAGCCTTCACTCTGGACTCCTGTCATAACAAAAATACCTAATAACTTATCCCTCTTAAACAGTTTTCTCCCTCATCTTTTTCAATACAGTATACATTATTGGATCCATCTTTCTCAGTCTCCCCCCACCTCCGAGGTCAGTCCTGTTTTATAACAGTGGAACCATGCAGTATATGTCCTTTTGTGACTGAGATACTTCACTCAGCATAATGTCCTCCAGGGTTACCCATTTTGAATAATATTGCATGAGTTCCTTGTTTTTCAATGTAGCATAGTATTCCATTGTATGAATATACCACAGCTTCTCTATCCATTCGTTTGTTCATGAGCACTTAGGTTGTTTCCAACTCCTTGCTATTATGAACAAAGCCACAATAAACATGGGTGTGCATATATCTGCCTGGATGTCGGTTATGGTCTCTTTGGGGTATATTCTCAGTAGTGGAATTGCTGGGTCAAATGGTATCTCTATTTGCAACTTTTTGAGAAAGCACCAATACTGCCTTCCACAGTGGTTGCACCATAAAGTAGCATTTTATGGAATGATGTAATCACTCCCTTCCTCTCCCCCTGTGATGTAATCTGATGTCATCAACCTTTAGCTGATATAGAAGGATTAGCCTGAGACGTACCACCATTTATTTATTCAGTCACTACCCTGATACTCCTATAAGGGGAGTTTCCCTAGAATGTTGCTTGCAACATGTTTTATATTCTAAGAGATAAAAGGAGAGACAAATGAGCAGAGAGAGAGGACCTCACTTCCACCAAGAAAGAAGATCCAGGAGCAAAGTGTATCTTGTATACTTAGGTCTCTGACCTGAGAACCTCCACGGCACATGAAGAACCCCAAGGTATGTTGGGCCCTTGGATGTTGAAAGGAGGCAAGACCTACAACCAAGAAGGAAGGAGAGATTTCCCCTAAACCCAATACTGTGACTACATACTTCACCTTCCTAAAGTGTAAGAGAATGAATTTATTTTAAAGCCATCCACTTGAGGTGTTTTTGTTACAGCAACACTAGATATTAAGGTACCATTTAACCCAGCAAATCCACTCTCGATATATACTCTATAAGACTTGAAACCAGGGACTTCGATAGTTTTACATCAGTGTTCATTGCAGTACTATTTACAGTAGCTAAAAGATAGATGGAAGAAGTACATAGATTCACTGTAACAAACAGAATTAGTAATACTGAACTCTTTCAGGAAATGGCATATGATCAAGAAACAGTGTTACTGAAGGAAGAAGTACAAGCTACACTGAAAGCATTGGTAAAAACTAAAGCCCCAGGAATTGCTTGGGAGGGTGGAGGGACAGTGCGGAAGAGGAAGACCCTCGATGAGATGGATGGATTGATTCCGTCACTGGGGTAATTGGGATAGGTATGGCAGAGAAAATAAGATTGGCACAGGATAGAGCAGGGTTTGGGCTGTTGTGCATAGGGTTGCTAAGAGTCGCAGGTGACTCGACGGCATATAACAACAACGACGCAACAACAGCAATAAAAACTAGAAATAAGCCAAGTTTCTATCAACAGAAGAATGAATAAATACCTATCCAGTCAGTGGGATCTTATTTAACTACAAAGAAAAATGAAGTTCTGATGCATGTTACGATATGAATCAGGCATGATAAAAGTACAAGTATTTTGTGTTCCAGCGGAATGTGTATCTGTTTCATTGACTCTGCAAAGGCATTTGACTGGTGGATCACAACAAATTGTGGCTAACCTTGAGGAAAATGGAAATCCCAGAACACTTGATTATGCTTATGCAAAACTATACTTGAACCAGGAAGCAGTCCTCAGAACAGAGCAGGGAAACACTGCATGGTTCAAATCAGGAAAGGAGTGCATCAGGGATGCATTCTGTCTCCATACCTTTTCAATTTTTATGCACAGCAGATCATTCACGAAGCAGGGCTCTATGAGGAGGAATGTGGTTTTAGGATTGGAGGTAGACTTATCCACAACATATATTGTTGCTGAAACTGAAGAAGACCTGAAGCGTTTGCTGCAGAAGGCCAAGGACTGTAGTCTTCAATATGGATTGAGGCATAACATCAAGAAGACAAAGATTCTCACCACTGGGCCAATTGGCAGCAACATGATTGATGGAGAAGAGATTGAAGTCAATAACAGTTACAGCTTGTTCAACTCCATAATCAACACTCTTAGCACCAGCAGTTAGGAAATCAAAAGATGAATTTTATTGGGAAAATCTGCTGTGAGGAACCTCTCTAGAGTACTGAAAAGCAACGATGTCAGTCTGGAGGCTAAGGTTTGCCTAACCCAGGCCACAGTCTTTGCAATTACTTGATAAGCTTCAGAGAGTTGGACAGTGACTAATGATGACAGAAGAATTTATGCCTTTAAATTGTGGTGCTAGAGAAGAGTCTTGAACATACCACGGACTGCCAAGAAAACGAATAGGCTGTCTTCCAGAGGGTGAAACCAAGTCTCTCCTTGGAGGCTAGGATTTTGAAGCTCCGCCTCACATACTTTGAGAATGTGGCCAGGAGAGACTGGTCCTTGAAGAAGGACATTATGCTCAGAAGGGTGGAGGGACAGTACAGGAGAGGAAGACCCCAGATGAAATTAATTGATACAGTAACTGGAGCAGTGGGGGTGAGTGTGTCAGAATTTGTGAGACTAGCTTAGAGCAGAGTAGGGTTCAGAGCTGCTGTAGTGTCTCTATGGTTGTGGGTGACTCGATGGTACATAATAACAAACAACTTATATACAATGTCAGAATAGGCAAATACATTGAAACCAAAGTATTTCCAGGGGCAGGCAGCTTAAGGATTACTAAATTTCTGTTTGAGCTATAAAAAGTTTTTGAAATTATGGCTGTAATTATTGTTAATAAATTGTGTATTTAAAAATAGTTAAAATGACAATTTTAGGTTATATATATTTTGTTGTTTATTGTTAAGTGCCGTCAGGTTGTAGACGACTGATAACAATCATGAATGTGAGACCTGACCTGATGACTTGTATAACTTTCATCCTTTCTCCATGTTCATAGTTTCCGGAGGTGAACTATTTTGGAAGTGGATACCACTCCTGCTTCCAAGCTTATTTTAATCAGGAAGCTCCACCAAACAGTGTCCACCATGGGTAACCATTATCACATTTGACACATCAGTGTCACAGGTTTAGCATCACAGCAACCACGAGTTATCTCTGTACAGCAATGCACAGACCAGTGCTATACCACTTAGATTAATGTTTGACCAAAAACAATTAAAACGAGGCCTGGGGGCCATAGATTAAAATCATCCACCTTTGGCTTGGTAGCGTAATTTCTATCCACTAGGCCAACAGAGCTCTCTCAGTGTTGTTATTAAGTGCCATTGAGTCATAGACGACAATAAAAATTGGTTGTAACCTTTCTTGGAAACCTCTGGATCCCTATGGATACAATGCATTCATTTTCTTTCTCTGGAAAGACTATGGTAGCTGCTTTAATGATCCCTTTGTAGGCCTCATGTTAGGATCCCTTGGGGAGCTGGATATTCTCTAGAGCCTGTCATTTCCAGGCACTGACGTTCTTTAGGGACTTTTTGACTCTTCCAAATCACTTTAGGAAACACTCTAGTACATGGCCCTAGAGGTTGTAAGGATGTTTAAGACTGAGGAAATGATTTCTTCCTATGTGTCTTTTTAAAATTTTTAAAACCATCATATTTTTAATTGTTTCATATACTTGTGAAAGTAAGAGAATGACTAAAGAATACTGAAGAAGAACTGACACTTTTTAATTATGGCGTTATAGGAGAGTATTAAATACATATACTATGGATTGCTGAAAGAACAAATCTGTCTTGGAAGACATGTGCCCAGAGTGGTCCTTAGAAGCACTGATAGTGAGACTTTATTTTATATATCACGGACATATTATCAGGAGAAGCCTTTCCTGGAGAGGAATAAAATGCTTTGAAAAAGTGGAGGATCAGTGAAAAAGAGGGCGGCCCTCAAGGAATTACTCAATGACTACAACAATGGCTTTAAGTACAGCAGAGACTGAGGATGGTGTAGAGTTCATTTCTGTTGTAGAGTTGCTATGAGGGTTGCTGTGAGTCAGAACTGACTTGACAGCACCCAGCAACATGTCATGAAAAATACTGCTGTCCCCTAGTAATAATTCTGGGAAATAAAGCTCATGTGGAAACCTTAATAACAACCTAGACATAGTTACTGCAACTGACTAGATTACTGCTGAGGAGGGAAAGAAAAGCAGAGGTCCTCTGCTGCCTGGACTGGCCTTGAGCACAACATAACAGCATTCTGTCTGTCTCCCTGCCACTCTCGGTGACCTCAGAGCCCCTCAAGAACTTGAGGGCTCCTAAGTGTACAGTTTTAAAATGGTAAAACTGATTATAGGTTACTTTTGTCTACAGTTATTATCTCATTTCCCTTAGGAAATTATAAATTACATAAAACAGCCTGTCTTTGTAAGTCTGAGTCTTCTCTTTATTTTTATCACTGTCTTTTCTTCTTTGAATGTACACTTCTGCTTTTATTCCTCTTTCTGGAAGCAGTCCTAAGACACCTCTGAATTCTGTTTGTAGGTTCTGGGTCCTTTATTTTATTACTTACTTTCTCCCTTTGAATGTACACTCTTGCTTTTATTCCTCTTTTCTGGAAGCAATCCTCAGCCACTTCTTTTGGAGATAGGATTGATCTGGGGCAAATGCGCCTAAAATCTCCCTTTCTAGGAGAGAATGAATTATTATGAGCTAGAAGTTGATTAAAATCCCTATCTTGAGCTCCGACTGTTTCTTTTTATTCATTAGATTTGTCTGCCTCTGCTCATTCCAAGGTGGTGATCCTCACAGTCAATTCTCTGGGTAGTTCTCAGTCCTATCTTGATGCAGTACAGAGCAACGTGGATATGTTCAGAACCCTTGTCCCAGCTCTGGGACATTACAGTCAGCACAGTGTCCTGCTTGTTGCATCTCAGCCAGGTAAGAATCTTTATTTTAATTTGATGGTCTAGTGCCTCCATAGAATTGCCTTACTGAGGGAGCTCTGGTGGCTAGTGGCAAGAAGCAGCACTGCAATCCCAGAGATACATGTTTCAAATCCACCAGATGCTCTACTGAAAAAGGAGGGGCAATCTCCTCCTGTACCAGTCAGATCCGATTTGATGGTACACACACAAAAAATAATAAATTAAAACAATTTTTAAAAAAACAATTGCCTTATTGATAAAAAAATTCATAAAAATGTAATTTCTGAAAGAACCAGTTTGATGATACTCAGTTAAATTACTTTTCTGATGATTTAGAGTATTCCACTTCCTGGCAACCTCTTTTTACAGACATTAACTGGGAAAGTTATAACTTTAAATTCTTTATGTAAAGTGATACTATATTTAGGTTGTCAGCAATGGTGAGATCCAAGAGTTAAATAGTGGCTTATGTGAGAAAAAAAACTGGTGAAACATTCAGTAGTGCCTTTGGGATTGCAGTGCAGCTTCTTGCCACCAGGCCAGCAAAGGTCCCTTGTCAGCATCCTTTATGTTTTATTTTGATTTGGGTTTTTTGGGGGTTTTTTGTAAGCTAACTTTTTTAAGTGCACTCAATATGCATTTGGAGCATGATATGCATTTGACTTGGTTTTCCATGGTAATTTATACGTTATACTGGTTTCATCAGATCCTTACATCCTTTTGGCATTTAAGAAAAAAGTAATTATGTTCTTGTTCTATGTTTTGTACTGCATAGAGGTATATAACTAGTATTTTCTTTAAAAGGATAAAGTTGAGCTTTTTAAAGACATATATAAAAGATAACTTGATCAGTGAAAAGAAATTACTATTCTTTTCAGTACTCTGTTTTCATCCTTCTTGCTTCATTTGAAGAAATGATCTAATTTTCAGTCTTAACAATTTATACTTAACAACAAAATTAGGTAAAAGCAAGGTGAAAACTACTTGGTGCTTTCACTGTTTTTTAAAAGTCTGTTGCACCTTATACTGCACATTGTACCTAAGATGGGGTTTTACAGTAGAGATCTCCTAATAAAATAGTAAGTGTTTTGTTTATAGGCTTGGCTAGAAGAATATGAAAAATATAACTTCTGTGTTTTCCACTTGTATGCACTGCTTAGTGGAAATCATGACATACGTGACATGGAAGCTGAGTGCGTTTCCTGAAAATCGAGTGATTGGCATTGGATGTAATCTGGATTCACAAAGACTACAGTATATTATTACCAATGTTTTGAAAGCACAGACTTCTGGAAAAGATGTATGGGTTATTGGTGAGCAAGGAGAAGACAAAGGTGAGAAAAAAAATTTATTTCTTATATTGAGAATTTAACTCACCGTAGTCATGACATTCAGCTCTATCTAGGAAGTCCAGAATGTGATACTTGGAGGGAGCTCTGGTGGCCTAGTGGCAAGACACTGCACTGCAATCCCAGAGATATGCAGTTCAAATCCACCAGATGCTCTGCTGGAGAAGGAGGGGCAATCTCCTCCTGTACCAGTCAGATCTGATTTGACGGTACACGCAAAAAATAATACAATAAAAAATAAATAAATAAAAGGTTGGTTTAAAAAAAAAAAGAAATGTGATACTTGGTTGGTTTCTGTCCACATTAAGTGCCTTCTAGGTAATAGGTCCTTTGTTGTAAATGAACTCTTCAAATTTGTTCTGCAGAATTTACTTTTCTGTAAGTTTCCAGTTGGGTAAGTTACTTTTTTTTAAAAAATTTTATATAAGTTACTTTAAAAGTTATACTTTTCAATATTTTATAATTTTGTCATTATGGAAATACAGTATTTATATCATATTTAAGAAAATTATTTTCATAAAATACCACACTATTTTATAGTTTTTAAATGTCTTCAAGTGACCATAGTGACTCATAGTGACCTTATGAACAACAGACCCAAACCTTGCCCTACCCTGTGTCATCCTATCATCTCTGACAAACTTACTTAAACCCATTGCTGCAGTTACTGTGTCAATTCATCTCATTGAGGGTCTTCCTCTCCCACTTACCCTTCACCTTTCCAAACATGATATCCCTTTCCATGTTAGCCTCTCCTAACAACAAGCCCAGACTATGCACGATGAAAATTTTCCATACTTACCTCTAAGGAGCATTCTGACTGCACTTTTTCCAAGACATATCTTGTTTGGTTTTTTGGCAGTCCATGAGATTTTCAGTGCCTTTGTCCAATATCACAACTCAGAAGCATCAATTATTTTGTCATTCTTACTCATTGTCCAGCTCTCAGATGCATAAGAAGTGATTCAAAAGATTGTAACCTGAATTAGGCACACCTTAGTCTTCAAACTCACATTATTCATCCTCAGTAATTTGGAGAGGTCCCTGACAGCAGACTTGTCCAATACAATGTCTCCTAATTTGAATGCAGGATGTTGATTGTGGATCCAAATAAGAAGAAATTATTAACAATTTCAGTCTTTTCTTCATCTATCATGGTGTTGCCTGTTGGTCCAGTGGTAAGAATTTTGGTCTTCTTGATGTTGAGATGCAATCTATAGTGAAGGCTTTGATACTGTGCAGTAAATGTTTCAAGTCTTCCTCAATTTCAGCAAACAGGATTGTGTCATTTGCACAATGCAGATTGTCAAGTCTTCTTCCAATCTTGATGCCACATTCTTCTTCATATAGTCCAGCTTCTCAGATGATTTACTGAGCATACAATTTATAGATATGAAGAAAGGATACAGCCCTGGTGTACACCTTTCCTGATTTTAGACCATGTAGTGTTCTTTTGCTCTGTTCAGACAACAGTTTCTTATTTTAGGTGTAGGTTTTTTATGAACACAATTAAGTATTCCGGGATTCCCATTCTTCTCAATATTCGCCATGATTTGTTGTGGGTTTTTGTTTTGGTTTGGTTTGGTGTTTTTTTTTATGTGTGTACCTTCAAATCAGATCTGACTGGTACAGGAGGAGATTGTCCCTCCTTCTTCAGCAGAGCATCTGGTGGATTCGAATCATGCACTTCTGGGATTGCAGTGCAGCTTTTGCCACTAGGCCACCAGAGCTCGCCAATATTCTCCATGATTTGTTATGATCCACATAGTCAGGTGCCTTTGCATAGTTAATAAAGCAGAAATACATAATCTTCTGGTATTCTATGCTTTCAGTCAAATTCCATCTGACATCAGCAGTGATATGCCTGGTGTTATGAACTCTTCTAAGTCCAGCTTGAACTTCTGGAAGTTTTCTCTCAAGAGAGAACTATTCTGGTTGTTTTTGGATGGCTGTGTTAAACCTTTGTACTTCTGGACTGACTACCTAGACAAGTCAGTGCTAGAAAGAGCCAGGCTATTGAATAAACACTTATAAAACAGGACAGATACTTTTTCTGTGTATGATTTTATTTCTCCCCATTTATAAAGTTGACACACATCATGTATATCAGAATCTCTTTTCTTCTGCATTTCAAAGTAAAGAGTACAGAGAAGACACCTCACATTATTGAACTAAAGCTAGCCTGAGTTGCTTGGTTGCTTCGGTAGTATGTCAAGTGCAAAAATGTCTCTACTAGAATTTTCCTTGTATGCCAGATGCTCAGAAAGGCAATTAGTTACAAGTTACTTGTGAGACATTCCAGAAATATTTTGTATAGACAAGCACATATATGAAAGTTATCATTTCTCACCTTGTCCTTTCACTTACCAGTATGAATTGAAAATTATTGCATAATATTTTATTAAAATCTTTAAAACTACTAGATATATCAGAATTTATTTTGCCATATGCATAGTTTTTGAAGAATATATTACGTATTACACACACACAAAATATTGAATGAATATGAACTTTTCACAATATTATTGTACTATTGTTGTACTATTTTTTCCATTGAGAAAACACAGGAAGGGATGTAGTAACTGTGTGAACGATTAAGTAGAAACTAGAAATAGAGGGGTCATAATTCAAGCTGGCAGCAGGATACAATCACTATGCACCAAAACGTGCTCACCAGCACCTCAGCCTTCAGCATCACCATGTTTGGCCAGTGTTACAAAGCTCTTAGTCCTGTCAATTACATCATCTCCTCCCTAGTCAACATGGAGTCATTCTGGTTGAGGTCAGCCCAACCAGGCAATCCTGCATTTAGCCCAAGAACTGGATTCAGCCAAGACCAGAAGAACCACCCAGCTGAACTCAGCCTACGTTGACAACTCACAGAATTATACGCTTAACCAATGGTGTTTGTCTCAGTGCATTGACATGAGGTACCTTTGGGTCAACTCCAGCTCACAGCAACACATGTACAACAAATTGAAGCCTTGCTCCATCCTGTGCCACCCCGTCATACCTAAGCCTACTGTTACTGTCACTGGGTGAATCCAACACTTTAAGGATCTTCCTCTCCTGCATGGATGCTCTGCTTTTCCAAGCATGACGTCATTTCCAAAGACTGGCCCCACATGGTTATCATTCTCAGACCAAAAATACCAAACCCATTGCCATGCAGTCAGTTCTGATTCATGGCAATCCTGTGTTATAAAACTACTCCCTGGAAATTTTCTTGGCTATAATCTACAGAAAAGAGTCTCAATGATGTAACACATTACATGTCAGAGGTTCAAATCCACCACGAACTCATTGGAAGATGAACAATCTCTTTCCACAAAGATTTATAACCTGAGAAACCCAATGGTGTTGGAATCCAATCTATGACATAGGATTGGACTTGGTTGGATTAAAATTAACAGATCACCAGACTTGTAGCAATGCTGCTGTTGAATGGACCTGAACCATCAACCTTTAGGTTAGCAGATGGGTGTAAACCATTTGTTCCATACATTAACTCTTGTCCCTCTTGGACTTGCAGGTGTATCTGTGTTTGTCATCACATGGGTGTATATGTGTGTGCTCTGCACTCCTTTTTATTAAACACCACTCAGAAGTGTAAAAAAAAAGAAAGAAATAGAGGGGTCTAGATGCATGTATACTTGAAACAGCTGAGAATCAGTGAAAGAGAAAGATTCTCAATGAAATAGATTGACACAATGATTCAAAAAATGAGCTCTGGCATGTCAGAGATCATGAGAATGGAGGCAAGATTTTGTTTGGCCTTCATTATGAGCCATAGTTGATTTGATGCCAACAATGACAGTGACGCTCTCAACTGATTGTCATCACGTCAGTACTGATTTATAACTGACCCTCCTGGGAATTTTTGAGGCTGTAAATCTCATGGGAGGAGATTGCCCATCTTTCTCCCAAGGAGCAGCTTATTGGATTCAAACCACTAGAGAGGTACCACCTTTGGGTTAACAGTGTAACTCCTTACAGACCATACCATCAGTTCTTTCCAGAACAGTAGGTATATGTGAATCAAATCACTTAAACTATTATGTAATATTTGACATACATAGAAAAGAATATATGTGTGTCTAAGTTTTAAAGCATATTAATGGAACACTTGTGAATCCATACTCAACTTAAGAATTGTAACATTACGGATACTACTAAAACTATGTGCTTTGCCACCCTATCTCCCTGTCCTCCATGTGGAGGTAACCACTCTCTGGTTACATTTTATCCTATCTGCTAACCTTGTTTCAGAAATGTTACTTTGCATGCATAGTTAGCCTTGCTTTGTCCCTGGAGCCAAAAATGAATTAGAAGCTCCCTCTACTGGTTTCATATGTCAACACAAATATTATGAACTCCCAAAGTTTGTCTTCAGCTGCTGTATTATTTAAGGAGCTCTGCTGGTTTAGTGGCAAGAAATTGCACTGCCAACACAAAGTTATGCAGCAGTTTGAGTCTACTAGTTGCTCCTTGGAAAAACGATGGGCACTCTCCTTCCGTACGATTTACTGCCTCTGAAAACCTGCTGGAGGAACAGCTATGGGTTGTTTCAACTTGAAGGTATACAACAACTGTGCACTGAGCTCTGTATTAAATGTTTTGCATATCATTTAAATTTTAGATTTAAAATGTATCCACCCAATGTATTGATGAGAAACCTTACAGTTCAGTAAGAGTAAATTATTTGTCCAGTCATACATCTGGTAAGGACAGAACTGAGATTTGAACCCTGATTGTCTGACTTTAAAGCTGTGCTCTATTTGTAACTTAATGAGGTCATTTAAAGCAGTTAGAAGTTTCTGGCACAAAATAAACATTCAGTAAATGAGAAATATTATTATAGGGTGCTGATGAGCGAATATTGGTAAAAGGGCATGAAAACTCTTAGAATAACTGTAGGATTAGGACTGAGAAACAAAGGTATAACAACAGCAACTATGTGAATTTAAAAAAAAAACACTGTAGAG